CAAACATCAGTGCAACACTCCACCATTCTGGGCTTTATGGCGGTGTGGCCAAACTCAATCCTCTTCTTCTCAGTGAAGACACATGAAAACCCACTTGGAATTTGCAAAAAAAAAGGTGTGGTGTGGTTCACGGTTGCTTTTTTAAATTGCCCCACAGACCAGCGGTCATCAGCTTGTCTTACCAGGCTCAGCAACTATCTAAATTATTAATCTAAGTCTGGGAGCATGGACACATCACAGCAAACCCCAGAGGCCAGACAGGTCTACTGTCCAGACAGAGAGACAGAGCATATCAGACATTTTAGCCTGTATCTTTTTTGATAAATATAATAGAATAGATAAAAGGTTGGAGCAGTGGCTCTGTGGTTAGTGCTCCAGAAACAAAAACCAATGAAAGAGACGCAAGCTCAATTCCAGCTCATACCATGTACTGATCCCTCTTTTTTCTCTCATTTCCTCTCTCCTCTCAACTATGTGTCCAAAATCTCTCAGTGACTAAACAGGCATTTGTGTATGAAGGCACCTTTTTTTTCACACTGGCTTTCAAGGCACCCTAACACCACGTCTATTCAAAAATAAAATAGAAATGTATGTAAAATATAATGCATGTGACCTACTAGTCCTTACTAGTACTTTTCACATAGTCAGAGGCTAATTTGCCATATTCTGGCTACTCGGGTCGTTCCCATGCAGGCGATGTGCTGTTAATCACTCACGAGGATGTTGTGTGCATATCCTCCTCTCTTCTCCGAACAAATTAGTCAGTATTTTGTAAGTGTTGTATTAATTTCTGGCTTGTTGAGGAAGCTGTGCAGCAGCAGGAATTAATTGCATCTTTGCAATAGTTACGTGAAGCAGCAGCATGCTGTGTGGTGATTAAAAGCGCTTTACATGGAATATGAATAAGAGCATAAATCACGGCAAGCGGTGGGCCGCGTGATGAGAACCATGTACCAATCACGTGGTACATCTGGGCCAATCCGCGATCTCAGCAATTACTGAAGGTCATGGGAGGGGAGCAATCCAGATTAAGAAGATGAAAGACATTCATGTTTTTGCTTATTACGTGAACTGAAGTAACAATAATAATAATAATAATAATAAACAATAATAAATAACTCTGTTATTACAAGAAAAAGTTTACTGAGGTTATGTCCTAATAGTTGCAGTACATGCAGTAGATTGATCATGATCGTCATAGTTTTAATCAAAAATACTATAATCATATTAAAATCACTTTATTATTCACATTATTATTATGTTCATATTATTATTATAATTATTTTATGATAAATTGTATTTAAATTTAAATAATGAGGGTTGTGACATTTGGTGACAACGCTCAAATGCTATCAGTCTAGATAAAACTGTAACATGTTTGCAGGTTATGTTTTTATTTTGCTTTGCTTTTTGTTGTTTTGTTTTTTTGCTTTGCTTTTTTGTTTTGTGTTTATGTGTTTTCTTTTGTTTTGGTTTGCTTTGCTTGTATGTGTTTTGCTTTACTTTTTTGCTTTGTGTTTTACTATGCTTTTTGTTGTTTAGCTTTTTTGTTTTGTTTTGTTTTGCTTTGCTTTTTCTTTTTATTTTGTTTTGTTTTGTTTAGCTGTGCTTTTTTGTTTATTTTGCTTTGCTTGTTGTTTTATTTTGTTTTGCTTTGTTCTTTGTTGTTTTTTTCTTAAATTTTTTCTTTGCTTTTATATTTTGTTTAGCTTTTTGTTGTTTTGCTTTGTTTTGTGTTTTTGTTTTAGAATTGGAATAGCACATAATAGAGCAAAGGCCATCATGTTTGTGTGTTTTACCTGTACTCCAGTCTAAATTCTGTCGTTACAGTTGAAGTTATCTACCTCAGGTTGTTATATCACATTTCTGCTAGGTGTGCAAATACACCATTAAAGATGTAGGTCACAAAAATAGAACGGGAGATCAAGAAAAAGAGGAGAGAAATCATGACACATGGAAAAGGACGACAGACAGACAGAGAGGGAGATGAAAGCCACCTCTGTATCAGTTTTCTCTCACCTATCCATCACCGTGGCGACAGCAGGTCTGTGGTTGGGACTGTTTGCTGTCACTGAAGCTGTAGTGAGGGAAGCAGCCATTTTACATCATTGATTTACATTAGTCAGGGAAGAAAGCTGAAGAATGACTGAAGAGAGTGACTCACATGCACACACATGCTCCCTTGTGTGCAGCCTTTTAATATTGCATTGGGTGTTTGGTGTCTGCTTTCTACTTGATGGGATTTAATTTAATCTACGGTGGCTAACTTTCTCTCAGTGTGGGGCTCTTTTCAACACGCTGACAATTACAGAGCGAGAGAGGAGAGGGAGCAGAGGAGGAGAAAAGCCAAAGTAACACGACAGAAGAAAGAAAAAGAAAAGGAGGATTATGGATGGTGGAAAACATAAGTGGGAAGAGAGAATGAGTGGCGGATTAGAGGAGAGTGTGATGGAGTGACAGAGACAGAGATGTGTAAAGATGAAGAGGATAGAGGGACAGTGTGGGCTCATGGCTGAAGGGAAGGATGTTGAATGATGGCTGAGCGTGTGCCTCCTGTCAATGTCACCTTAACATGTCTCACTGCTGCAGAGAAACACACTTCTTACAAAGACTAAATGGTTGACCTGATTGGTTCAGACTGTCGACAGTTGCACAGCTTTGTCCAGTAGTGTTCTTTCATATGAAAACACTTTACTTTCTGACTTTTTATGCTTTAATAAGACACATATTGCGATTAGTTTTGCTCATACTTTGGGTTAAAGGTATTTCTGAAGTACTAAATTTTGGCAAAGAATGATATTTCAAATTGTGTGGCTTCTTGCTATTGCTTTTCTAGGCAATTGGCCATGATCAAATTAAACGTTAAAGCAGAGCCTTAGGTACTAGAATATCTTGTTTTCAAACTGTGGTCCGGGACTGCAAGACGGTCCATGGGTAACCTGAGAGAAAATAAAAAGATTTTACAAAAAGCATTTTTGCAGCTGTCAAAATTAATATAAATAATATAAATAATATATTATTATGTTTAACATACCAGTTTTGATAATAGTACTGAATTGTATGTATTTATGTATTATTATGTTAATAATGTTCTTTGGCTTCAATCAAGTATTTGATAATAAAAAAGGCAATTGTTTATATTGTTACACAAACTTTTTTCCAAACAGTATAAAAAGGCTTTATACATAAAAAGAAATATCTGCCTTTATATATATATATATATATATATATACACTTTTCTTTTCTTTTTTTTTTTTTCAAAATGTATTTTTAGAGCTGTCAAATTTAACATGTTATTGTTATGTTTAGCACATCTACCAATTTTGATAACATTACTATATTTATTTACTTATTTTCCAGATATTTTAATAATGTGCTTTGGCTTCAATACAGTATATAACAACAAAATTATTTTTTTAACAGCTGTCAAAGTGAACATGTTAACATATCTGCACATTTTATGTATGTATGTATGTATTTATTTATTTATTTACTTTCCAGATAATATTTTAATAATCTGCTTTGACTTCAATAGACTTAAAAAGTGTATATAACAAAATAAAATTACTTATTAACAACCTATTGTTTACAGTAATAGACTTACTCTTTTTCTTACACATTTAAAATGGCTCTTTATGCATGAAAATATTTAGCTGCTTTTATATTTCAGAAAGGGGGCCCTTGCAAGGAGATCACTATATGTGGGGGTACTTGGGATCAAAAAACCCTGTCATAATCTTGGGGGTGAGCTTTTCTGACTTCATCTCGCAAACACTGGCTACAAGATAGCAACACTCTGAAACTCACCTTGGTAGTTAAATAGATCCAATGGAGAGTGACAGGAAATTATTTGAGGATAGGGTAGTGATGTGCACAGGATACGTTGCATGCCATGCTTGACCATATTTAATCCACACCATCACCACGGCTCACCAACCCCTACACCACAACTCTGACATCACAGTAATTTTTCACCCTGCATTTCGACTCAAATACATTTTATTTACCAAATTTCACACACTTCAGAATAGCGCACAAACCCGTCTACATCTCAACGACTAGCTTCTTGAGGCTGAATAGAACACCATTTCAACCCTGCTTTTGTCTGGGGTGAATGGTGGGCCACTAATTACCTCTCCTCCTCTTTCAGTCTCAGCTCTTCTGTAATACAGCTTAACATATTCACATCCCACCCTAAAGATGTTCATGAATATGCATGAGCCCCCTCAGCTTAATCCTCATGATTGACAGGTTGACATCTTAATCAGAGTGATTGATGGTGCGCTGATTCCAATTGATCGTATATCTCCTCCCTCCCTCTTTCTCCTCATACATTCCTATAGCCGTTCCCACACTGTCATTAGCCATCACGTAAAATAACTTAACCTCCCTCGCTGAGGTCTCTTTAAGCTTTCATCCTGATTGCCGAGTCTAGTTTCTGGCAGCTTCGTCTGAATAAACTTGTCGCGCTCTGTTTTGTATGCGTGTGTGTGTTTGTGTGTGTTTTTGTGGTGTGACGCTCACTAAGCCCCCCTGCTCTGGTAATTGGGCCTGCTTTCTCTCAGTGGCCTCCGAGCGCAGTAGGAGCTGGCAGTGCGGTGGCAAAAAATAGAGGCCAGAAAGTTATTCTGCGTGTTCAAATGCACTGCACAAATCCATGATGACATCAGTATTCTGGTCAGACTTCACTTCAGACACAAAGAAAATAAGTGCAAAAAGAGAGGAATGCAAGAGAGAGAGAGAGAGAGAGAGAGAGGAGCACATAAAAGTATTTTGACTAGGAATTAAATGTGGCCCATAGCTTTTTTTTTTTTGACAATGTCTATAAGAGCAAATAAGTTTCAAGCTTACAAAACAGAGAAATCAATTGCTGCCATTTAGAGCAGCAGCTGAAAAAAGACACTCAGAAAAAAGTAAAGAGATATTGAGAGTTTGACACAAAAAAGTTTGACAAAAAAAGCAATAGATGTGACTTTTCTCACTGTTTGCTTGTTTTGCAGAACAAAAAATCAACTAGAAGAGCCGTGTGCCTGGTACTCTGGACCGGCAGGTGAGTGACAGGATGCTGGACAAATGACACGGGCACATGGCCAAGTTATCATGATGAGAAATTGTCTTATTCAAAAAAGCTGCCAGCTGTATTGGACATGTTGATCATTCTTTATACCGAACAGAAACAAAAGCGTATTGTTGAAGATGACTGTGTGCATTTAAAAGTGCTGTGGTGGAAACATGGTGTAGTGTCTGTATAATACTGTGGTGGTGCTATAATGCATGTTGGCCTCAAAGTATTTAGACACATAAAATAATAATATAATTTGAATTTCATTACATCAGATACAATTTACTGTATCAACCCTAGTGTCACAATAAGAAACAATATACTCTTGAAAGGTTTGGAGTTGTTAAGATTTTTTGTTGTTGTTGATGTTTTGGAAATAAGTCTCTTACGCTCAGCAAGGGTGCATTTATTTGATCAAAAATACAGTAAAAATATTAATTATTAAATATGATTACAATTTAAAACAGATTTTCTATTTGACTATATTTTAGAATTTATTTCTGTGATGCATGGATCATTACTCCAGTCTTCAGTGTCTCATGATCTTTCAGAAATCATTCTAATATGCTGATTTGATACTCAAGAAACATTTCTGATTAATATCAGCGTTGAAAACAGTTGCACTGCTTAATATTTTTGTGGGAACAAAATATTTTTTTTTCAGGATTATTAATGAATAGAAAGTTCAGAAGAACAGCATTCATTTGAAATAGAAATATTTTGTCACATTATAATTGTATTTACAGTCACTTTTGATCAATTTAATGCTTCCTTGCTGAATGGAAGTGTAACAATAATAATAATATTAATAACAATAATACATTCTTTGTGTGAAATGTTCTAGTGTTCATTGTTCTAAATTGTTACTTAAGTGTTCATATTTCAATTCTTCAATTTTTATATTAAGTGTCACCTTATAGCATGATACAGACACATTACCAATATCATATGCACTAACTTGGTACTATAAAGAATGCTGCTATGAACAGGGTACATGTCCAGAAGCATAATATTATTATAGAACATATTAAAAAAACACTGTACAAAAACACTGTGCTATTTTGTGTGTGTGAGTGAAGGAGAGTGCGTGATGATTTCTACAAATGATGCAAAAGGAAAAACAGAAATGACTGAATAAATGCAGTATATGAATGAAATAAAAGGGGTGAAAGTGGGACATGGGGTCAGAGCTCTGTGGGGTGCTACAGAAACACACACACACACACACACACACACAGGATGACCTTTTTGCATGGTAGATCAACCCTCACTAAAAAAAACCAAAAATGCTTCATTACTTCTGCTTCATTCACACACACACACACACACACACACACACACACACACACACACACACACACACACAC